AAACGTAATATATTTATTTTAGCTTGCTATGTATAGGGATGCTATAGGATCCTTCGGAACTAGACTTGCCAGGAATTTTCGAACTATGATGGATCCAGGTTATCCCCTCGTTAATATTTTGTTCATTCATATATTTAATCTTATGAATTGTTCTTGCCCTTACAATGCTTTTTGCATTTTAATTCAGCTGAATGGTGGGAGATATATGGTATTGATGCATCTCACCTAAAGAGGATAGCAATTAAGGTGCTCTTCCAGACATGTTCTGCTACTGGCTGTGAGCTCAACTGGAGTACGTTCCAATGGTTGCACACTATTAGGAGGAATAGACTCGCTTCTGAAAAGCTTCATAAACTAGTCTACGTTCATTATAATTTAAACCTCCGAGAGCGACAAATAAGAAGGAAGCTTGAAGACTATGGGCCGATAGACATAGACACAATATTTGTCACAGACACAGCAGACCAATGGGTAGTAGAAGAGGAGGAGCTAGTGTTGCACAAGAGAGTATTCCTTGAGGCTATCGGTGATGAAGATCTTGAAGAAAGTGATAAGCAACATGAAAGAGGAAGCAGCCAGCCAACGTATCCACAATTCGTCGGAGATGTTGGTAATATTGCACCTAATGAAAGAGAGCGGGAAGGGGGTCTAAGAGAAAATGAGAGAGATGATGATTCTGAGGTCACCCTATCCCAGCCATATTATTCACATATCGAGTCCCAACAACAGTGTAGGGATGAGCACGACAGTGCAAGTGAGCATGAATGATGGACAAGCTTCGGGGATTTTGGATTGGGAACACAACAAAAACTAACACTCATGGATTTGGGAATAGTCAGACGCCTGATAATATCGATGATTCGTTTTTAGATCGAATCAATGAATTGTCAAACGAATTCAATCAATGGCACCAGAGTGACCAAGAAGAACAACAACGTCGTCTATCATTTTATTTTTAGATCGTATGTTACTAATTTTATTCTTTATTGTAGTCCATGTATGTTGATATATTTATTCCATGATAATTCTATGTTTATCCTTTTGTGTGATGTAAATTAAATGCTGAATAGTAGTTAATGCTGGGAAAGAACATATTAATATTTGCATATTCATGCAAAAACATGAAAATTCTTAATGGAGTACCCTCATTTCTTATTGAATTCCTAAAAAAAAATATTTAAAATGAATTTTAATAATTTTTTCGGATTTTGTTGAAACTTTATTCTGACCGATTTACCTAATTTTCGATCCGAATCGTCGATTCACCGTTCCGGATCGATTTTTTGAGCGCTCGATCCGGGTCACCGATCCGTTTTTTTAATCCATTGGACAGAACACAATATCCAAGCAAGTCCTTCATGATTAAACAAAATACAAAAGCCAAAAAGTCACAAGGACAAAAATATTTAAAAAGGAATTGATCTCGAATTCATCACAAGAATTAATATAATGATACAAAACTGGAAAGGAATCAATACAACATATCCTCAAATACGCAATATGTGCAAAGATGCTAAAAAATTGGGGATTAAAAAATAAGGATTGAAAATTTTGGGAGAGGATGAAGGAATTGGGATGAAATTTAATAAAAAAGCCTTTGTGAAAAAATCTGAAAATTAGGGCTTCAAAGTTTCATACATTAGGGCTCTAAATTAGGGTTCACAGAGTAAGCATAAAAAAATGTAAATAAGGGCTTGTAATGAATTAAAAAATGATCATAATAACATAATACATACCTATGTGCAATATTCTATGGTTCAAGTGAAGAACGGAAACAGACAGAGCTCTGCTAGGGTTTGAGAGTGCTCACAAATCCATCTAAATAATGCTTCTAAGCTTCTGTCAGGCCTTCTGAGCTTCTGTGAGGGCTAGAGACAGAGAGAAAGAGAGCTGAGAGAGAGAACTCCATTAGGGTTTGACAGAGCTCACAAATCCGTGTGGGCTTCTATGAGGTCTCTAAGCTTCTGTGAGGGCTTCTGAGAGAGAGCCGTTGTGGTGCCTGCCATAGTCTAGGGGATGGTTTAGTGAGAGAGAGAGAAAGAGAGCCGCGGGGTCATGGGGACTACGGGTTTTATTAGGTCGATTGCATAATATGGGCGGCTCCGGTACGAAAACAAATGCAGGGGAATGTTTCCCGGCTGTGATTTTATTTGGGAAAGTCTAGAATGGGACTATATACCTTGTTATAAAACGATCACATTAATCTTGATCTTCAAGCTCAAATTATGAAAGAAATTTTTTCAAATTTCATGATACATCTAAGCTATCAAATTTCACATTGGATGATTGTAAGTAATTGTGATCACTTTATATCAAAGGTAAATAGTCTCATCGTATATAATCCCTTTTTATTTTACCAAGAATTAGATATTTTTATGGTAAAAGCTTTATCATGGTATTTTATTTGCATATGCATTTGTATGAACGAAATGTATGAAGTGTGATTTACATATGTAAATATTTTTTGGGGAATTTTGATTCGTACACCCTAAAAAAATTAAGAAATGGATAATCCACTTTTAGCATTATCTACACATGCATGATAATAACTATATAGCCTGAAAATCCCATAAAATTTTGAGCAAAAATATGAGATTGAAATGGTCAAACAATACAAATACAAAGAGTCCTGGAAGGGAAGAGGAAATAAAAAAAAACAAGAAGAAATCCAACTCAAACAACCCCCAAAAATTACAATTGAGTGGTGAAAGGAATTTCAAAGCTAGTAACCTTATAAGATAGCGATCAAGGCCCCTCAATGGGAGGAGAGAGCTCCACTCCAGCTTCGGTTATAGGATCCTCAAAGTGAGATTCCGAGGCCCGATCACCACATCCTGACCAAGCTCCCCCAACTATGTTTATATCACAATTTGGAAAAAGAAAAGCTTTCAAAAAGCCATGCATGCCATGCATACCGTATAGGAAAATATTTATTAGTATTTCTCTATTCTTCTTTACTTTAGAATTTGGACAGACTAGTTAAATTAAACAGCTTGAATGGCCCCGCGTCGAGCAGTTTGAATCTGGAAGACCCGTGGGACCCATGGACAGGCCAAGGGTCAGGTTCTGCTCAAATGCACCGGGACATCTTGTCTAGTCCAGTTTCCTTAACATTTTATGAAACTTCAAAAATCAATTAGAATCTATTAAATTAAATAGAACTTAAAAGTAAGGGCATAGTACTCCAAAGCTATCCTCAGCTTTATTTACCTCCGATAAATAGTTCAGGACTACCTCCGATGAATGGTTCAGGTCTTACTGTAGAGTGGCCCACATGGACATTGACATTGGACATTGCATAAACAGTAAATAGATGTTGAATGTATCTTAGGCCAATGTCCCTTGCTTGGTATGGTAAATTAGGGAAATTTACGTAGGGACCGGATTATTCATCCGTTATAGCGAAATGGTTAAAAAATGGGCCGCCATTATCAAGAAGGATGAAATTTTTATTTTTATTTTTATTTTTGACAATTTTTCCCTTGATCTGAAGTTGTAAACATCGGATAGCTTTTTAATCCCCATCCTTTTCTTTGCGTAGGTTCCTTTGAGTGTTTTTTTATGTTATTTTTATGATATTTTTATTTTATTTTTATTTTTATTTTTATTGTTTTACCCACTAGCATTAGACCCCTTGATTTATGACAAAAAAATTTCAGCAGTTGGTGGTCCAATGTTTCACATCCAACTGAGGGTAAAACAATAAAAATAAATAAAAAACACTCACGGGGACCTATATGGAGAAAGGATTGAGTTAAAAAGCGGTTTGATGTTTACAACACCGGATCAGGGGCAAACTTTTTTTAAAAAAAGGGGATTATGTTCTTCTTGGTAAACGGTCCATTTTGGGCCATTTTGTTATAACGGATCAATAATCTGGTCTGCATGTAATTTTTGTAAATTATAAAAGAGACTCATAAATGATAGTGAGAAAAGATATGGAGACTGTTGATCTCATTGATATGGCCTTTAATAAAACAGAATAGTGAGGATTGAAGTCGAAGAGCCGATCCCAATTAATTAATTAAGTAAAAAGTGAGAAAAGATATGGAGACTGATGATCTCATTGATATGGCCTTTAACAAAACAGAATAGTGAGGATTGAATTCGAATAGCCGATCCCAATTAATTAATTAAGTAAAAACTTTGACGATGATGATACTCACATATGAAAGGACATATGGGAGGAAACGTGTCGGAGAGGCTAGGTATTATATTGGGTTTTAATGGTGCATGATGGCAAATTTCAAAAGTTCAATAGAAAAGTAGATAAGAAGAGTCAGAACCTGAATGCAATCACGTGTGAAAACACCATTAACATACTTATTGCATGCAATTGGACGTCCACAGGACAACTGTTCCTAAAGGGCCAACTGCATCATATAATGCTCACAAAACAAAGAAAAAGGTGTCCACCTTCTGTTTTGAGAACACATGATGGAGATAATTTGTAGCTCCTGGTGAATGTCCATCACCTGAACTAATAAGTTCATCTCCACCATACGCTCTTGAAAAAGGACAGTGGATTGCTCCATCAGATGGACGTGTATTGGTCGGCAGTATAGAACATCACATGGACGTGTATTGGTCGGCTTTCCCAATAAGATATTCCCAAAACGAGAAAAGGATGACCACTGCAAATCATTGAAAAGTGGTAGGAAACAGGAAAAATGAAAAATAAAATGAAAAGAAGAGGTAGTGTCACTCATTAGACATCCATGTGACCATGAGAGAGTGAGCAGGATAACCAATATAAAAGCAGTTCCTCATTGCAAATACAGAACCATATTATATAATTATTTCCCTTGTCAACAAGCTCAACCAGGGACCTCAAACTACATGAAATTCCCAACATGGAGAAAACATCGATAGAACACGGCACTCAGAGACCTACCACCTAACCTGCATCAACCAGAAATGAAAATGTGGTTGCAGAGCAAGCAGTGTGAAAGAAATCCTATCCATGTCTAAGAGCAGTAGAACTGACCTTAGAGGCCTTTCTACAGAACTTCCTTGTTGAAAATCCAGCTGAAAGGAACTCTTCCGATTTGCTTTGCCCGACTTTGGGCTCTCTCTTGCAACCTCCTAAACCTTGGAGCCAAGCCACACACAAAATCTTGGGCCTTCTGCCCCTCCCCAGAAAGACCCGTTAGCTTCTCAACATTCCATCGATCAACCAGGAATTCAAATATATCTGTATAATCCTTAGCTGTATAAACCTCCAACTTCTGAGTAACAGCTGAGAAATGCTCAAAGAGGTTGTCATCTTGCCCATCATACATCATATGAGCAGGCATGGATATCTTCTTCTTCATCATGTCAGCAAATGCCAAGACTGTGCCATCAGGGTCAATCTCAAACAGCTTCTCCACGATCTTGGTGTAGGCAGTCTCATGGCGCCTTTCATCAGCAGCAATGATTCCACAGATCTGAGCGAGCTTCATGTCACCATAGTCCTGTGTGTGCCTTGCAGTGTTACCATGCGATACGAAAGTCGCCCTCTCCTGGAAAGATGTGTAAATAAAGCCAAGGTAGGGGCTGTTCTCTGTGCGTGGATCCTAGAAAATGCGAGAAGAATGAAAATCAAAGAGGCGAGAAGAATGGAATAAAGAGGACCAAGGTGAAAAGGAAGAATAAAAAATTAAAGGGAGAGAGGAAACATGAGATTCAACATAAAAGTCGTTTTACATCAAAAATCCAAGTAGATTCTTCTAGAAAAAATTATCCATGGGAAAGTACACCATAATCAAGATCCCTAGGGAATATTACGAGTCTCAAATCACCGAAAATTATGGTCATCACCAACTGATGAAAGAGGTCTAATGGACCTCTTTGGCACACATATAGATTTGCATTTGGGAGATCAAATTTTAAAAAAGAAAAAAAATGAGTTTGCACAACAAGAATGGGGGAAAATCAATTCCTTCATTTTCGATGACCATAGGCTGTCTATTTCAAAAATGGTAGATCAAGGCCTTCACGATCTAAAAATATTTTTTTTTTCATGGAATTGTTTATTTTTCAAACCGAAGGCGTGAAAAATTTCTGCCAAAAAAAACCCCTCAGGCCAGTAGTTCTAGAGCTCAACTTATATTGTAGCTAAACCTGTTGTCTTTTATACAAGTGATTCGCACTTCAAAAATATAGCACTTTCTTTTGTTAATAATACAAAATTATGTTTGTTTGGACCGATACACATATTGATTAAGGAGAGGTAACAAGAAGTCCCTACCACTATGCTACATGGCCAAACCCCACTTAATGAAATTTTCTGATGATCATCAAAAAAGGTAAATGAAAGGAAGAAAACCAATGAAATCCAAAGACTGAAGCTTGGTTTGAAGAGCATCAATAGTATGACGACATAGAGAACAGCCAAAATGATAATCAGCCAAAATTCTCAACAGAGCAAGTTTGACATAGCAATATACCCAACACAATTTAACATTTCCCAAAGAAGAATTGACATAAATCATGGGACAACCATTCAACATTTCAAGCTTATTAGTTTGAAAATTCAACAAATGAATAAAATAAACAGATTCGAACCAAATCAAAGCATCTAACTTCTGTAGAAGTAATAAAGCAGGATCATTTGCTTAAAGTCTAGACAATAAGGCTTTTTACTTGCTTATATTTACAACCAGTTTTCTTAAAAGATAAAAGGAACCAACAAAAATGAATGAGAAAACAAAACAAACCAAAATAAATTCTATATAATAAGTATCTGCTCCATGTTTCAAGGACCATTTGAGAAACAAATACTGAAAATTGCAGTTTTGAGTTCTTCGTATCAACAGTGAGCTAATGAGATCCAAACCCATAGTTCAAGCAATCAACAAAACCAAAAGAAGGCAAAATAAAATCTTGATGTATGCAGTAATAACTTAGAAGCTCACCATTCCTGATCCAATAAGATACTGAATCGTCTTTTCGATCTGCCTCATATCCACTCTCCCACTCAAGTAGAGGTACTTGTTTAGAAGGTCACCATGCCTGTTTTCCTCAGCAGTCCAGGCCCTGGTCCAAACTGCCCAAGAAGTTGGACTTGCCCCAGTTTCATCACGAACACCATCAGCGGTATTGAGCATTGTCTGATAGGTGGGCAAAGCTTCCTCAGTGATCATATCTCCAACCAAACAACAAAGTAATCATCTGGGATTTCCTCAGCCCGCTTCCTTAGTTCCCTCACTTCATCGAGAAAACCCTCGGAAGAAGGGTCAGGCAAGAAATCCTGAGGCTGCCATGACTTCTCTACAGCTTTCAGGTGGACCAAGATATGGTGCTCTGCCCAATCCTCCAAGGATTTAAAGATCTCAATTTTTTCGGGAGGCATCGAATGGGTCACTTGAACATGCACTTCTCGAGGGCTGATTTGCTTCCTAAGACTGTCAATCTCCCTGCTCAAAAAAGAAGCTCATATTATCATCAAACACAGGTCAAATGGCTGAACAAAAATTTTTAGAAGAAAAAGTTCTTATTTGATCCATCAATATATTATCTATAAACTATAAACACTTCAAAAATAATGATGAACAAAATAAATACCAATATCCCCAAAAAACAGACCAGATTGTTATCCTTCAAAAATCCAGATTGAATTCGATTTTTTTTTCAAACAAAAATAATTTACTTAAATGGTTTCTAATCCATATGTTCTTGAAAATAATAATTATCTCATTAAAGATTATAAAGCAGACAAGAAAAACAGCCACTTTAGCATATTCTCACATCAAAAAGCAAAATAAAATAAAAATCTACATAATCTATAATCAGGAAAAATAAACCTCCACAAACTCTCATATAAATCGAGGTTTCAATGTAATCCATAAATCTTCATTTTGAAGGGAAAAACATTGAAGGAGGAAAGACAGAGAACAAAAAGAACTAGGTATGCTTTCTCAGTAGACTATATTCAAAATGGATGAAAGCATGAAGTACCAAAAGCACACCAGGAGAAACAGTTCCTCAAAATCTTACATGCAAAACCACCTAATACATTTTGCATGCCTTAGTTTCTCGAAAGAGAGATTCAAAGAAAGCAAAACCAATACTTCCTCAAATTATGTCATCCAAATTTGGGAAGTTCATATGGCAACGCTTCCCCCAAAAAACGAAAAATCCAAAAATAATTGAATATTTACAAAATATTCAGCATAGTCCCAACAAATAGTGCCTATACACAATTACTTCTCTTCTCAGAGGAGAAGAGAGAGAGAGTTTGTGTGTCTAGACATACTCATGACTATCAAATGCATACATTCTAGAAGCGAAAAGCAATTCACGAAAACAAAAAAGAAGAAACAAACATAAAACAACCAACCACACCGCAAAGATATACGTGGTTCGGCAACGTGTCTACGTACATAGGAGATGATAGCTTCTTTACTAGCAATAGAGAATAGGGTTACAATAGCTCTTTTCCTCATGCCTCTCTGTTATCTCTTATTAAGTCCGTGTTTGTTCTTTAACCCTAAAAAACCTCATCGTAACCATATATATTAAATCCCATGTACGGATTTTAATGGCCCTCCAGAATCGTCCATTTGACTCCATCTTAGCAATCTATTTCCTTTGAATACAAGACATCAATCCTCAACATACATGGCTCAATATAGAAAGAGAAAATGATCCCCTATCAGAAACCTTATATAAAATCAACATCGGAACGAAATTGTAAGACAATGCGAGAGAAATCATCGCATTAGTATGATGATGAACAATCTTAAATATGAACAAATTGATGTCCAATCCATCAATGGATCAACGACTCACTTTGCAAATTAATTAGAAAAATGCGGTGAAAAACACCTAGGCATTCCACATTGGTTCCAACACGGAACTTCCCCAATTAAGTAAATCAGGACTCCGCGAGCATTCCACATTGGTTCCAACACAAAACTCCCCCAATTAAGTAAATCAGGACTCCACGAGCATTTGACACAGTGGCAGCCAACTGTTGTCACAAACTCTGATGACGTAGGATGCGAGGCCAGCTTGCCAAGAATAACCACAATTTGGCGTGCAGGACAGTCGGATTTCATTTCTTTGTCTTTATCTCATAAGTTTCAGTTAAAAATAATATCAAATAAAGTTAATCTTAAAATGTAGAATTAGAGCCTCACCTCAAAAATCCATCTGAAAATGTTGTTGTAATGGCAAAAAACCTTCAAATTGATCATCTCGACATTGAGATGTATAAATATGGAAAAAAATACATTTTGAGTCCTAAAATTTGTGCATCTTGCAATACATTATCTAGACCATCCGTTTTTAAGATTTTCATATGTTTATAGTTGTATTTGATTCTAACCATCTTTGGAGTTTAAAAAATTTATAATTAGATACGAAAATAAATTTTAAAAATAATCCTAAAATTTGACACCAAAATTACATGTTATGATAAAATTTGGAGGTACGCATGCAAAACCCCCTATCTGATCATCTTGACATCGAGATGTATGAATATGAAGAAAAAATGAAAGAAAAAGATTTTGAGTCTAAGAAATAGTGCATGCAACCCATTACTTAGACCATCCATTTTCAAGAATTTCATGTGTTTATAAATCTACTTGATTCTTGCCATTTTTTGGAGTTTCAAAATTTATAATTAGATATATAAGTAAATTTTCACATAATTCTAAGAATTTTTTATACCAAAATTACATGTTATAATAAAATTTGGAGGTGCACCTTAATTGGATTGTTTAAGATTGCAACCTTATAAAAACCACACCCAGTTAGTTAAAGATGAAGTTTCTATAAGGCATAGGCTTTAGGAAAAAAAAATAATGCCTCACGTCAAATCCTTGTTCGGAAAGCACTTTTGGCAATAAAAATCTCCATCATGGTTCTAAAATCAAATTTCAATATTGACAATAAAATTTGAAGCTCAAAAAATGGTAATGATCCTGCAGATCGGTGAACACTTGTTTTTAGGGCGAAATGAATTTGTTACAATATACACTATTTTTAGACCTTGAAATCATAATTTTTTCCACAACCATAATGTTCAAGCCGAGATGGTCGATGTAAAACTTTCATAATACTTGAATTGCAAATTTTGATGACTTATAAGGTGAGGGTTTACTTATTTTGATAGGGCTACAACCCTATCGAACCTTTTTCCTTTAGTTAAAATAAAATGGGTAGGGACCTACTCCCCTACTCACTTACACAAAAAAAAAAGAAATTTTTTTATTTATTTAAGGTTGCAAATGTAGAATTAAAGATGCACCTCAAAATTCTATCAAAAAATATTGTTTTAATGTAAAAAAACCTCTAATCGATCATCTCGACATTAAGATGTATGAATATGAAAAAGAAAAAAAAAAAGAAAAAGATTTTAAGTCCCAAAAATAGTGCATCTTGCATCCCATTATCTAGACTGTCCATTTTCAAGATTTTTATATGTTTATAGATCTACGTGATTCTAATATTTTTGTTTAAAATTTTATAATTAGCTATGAAAATAAAATTTCAAATAATATTAATAATTTTTTATACTAAAATTATATGTCTTGATAAAATTTGGAGGTGTGCTTTATTGGATTGTTTAAGGTTACAACCTTAAAGAAACCACACCCTTTCAGTTAAGGATGAAGTTTCTATGAGGCCTAGGCTTTATGAAAACAAAATAAAACCTCACCTCAAATCCTCATGCAGAAATCACTTTCGACAATGGAAATCTTTATTATGGTTCTAAAATCAATTTTCAATATTAATAATAAAATTTGAAGCTCAAAAAATGGTATAGATCTTGCGGATATGTGAACACTTGTTTTTAGGGCGAAATGTATGGTCAAGATATTTGGTTACAATATCCACTATTTGTAGAGCTTGAAATCTTTATTTTTTCACAAACATAAAATGATCGATGCAAAATTTTTCTAATATTTGAATTATGATTTTCGATGAGTTATAAGGTGACGCTTTATTTTGATAGGGCTTCACCCCTTTCAGACCATTGTCCTTTAGTTAATAAAAACGGGACACAGACTTTAAATAAATAAAAAAAGAAAAAAGAGCAAAAAAAAGAAAGACGTAAAAACAATTAAAAGGAGAAGGAGAAGAAGGAATGCTTACTTGGACTTTCGTGGAAGGGTGGCGGTCATGAAGAACCTAGCAGAACCAGGTCTTGAGCGCTGAAACCCTAGACTTCGGAAAGAGGTTTGTAAAGGAAGCGAAAGCTTTAAAGCCATGTCTTCCTAAATGCACAAATAATCACAGAATATAGAGAGAGAATATTTAGAGAAGAGAGAAAATGGAGAGGGTTGAAGAGAGAAGGAAATAGCAGGAATAAGGAGCAGAGCTTAAGAACCTAGTTTATATAAAAGCGAAATTTAGAGGTAGAGAAAGACGTGGGGGAAATATTTTAGAGAGAGAAAGGTAGGTGGGAGAGAGAAAAATAAGTATTTATGGCTACGACGCACATGCATGAAATGATGGTTTGAGCCATGCAGAGGGAGTGGGTCTCTCTCTCTACCACTCTCTCTCATCGTGCTCTCCAGACTCCACTTGTTCAAATGGATGGGTTTGTTTAAAAAATCTCCGTTTTTTCGAAATCCGTTATGAACTCCAACTTTTTCAAAATATCTTTAGAAAAATCGTATTTTTTTTAATGGAACTCACATAAATCTGTATTTTATTTTTTTAAAAAATTTCATCCCTATAACTTACTTTCTTTATTAACTGAATGTTATTGATTTTTAGTTTAAAGATAAGCATAGTGGGAATATATTAATAATCTTGATTTAATAAAAAATTCCATACAAAATTTCACCAATAATTTCTTTTAAAAAACGTGTATGAAAAATACAAGCAATATATTTCTTGAAAACAAAGATATCAAAATTATCGTATATGTCACATTAATAGGTAGAGTTAAGCAAAGAGTAAAATATTTTAAAAAATAAAAATAAATTGGAAGGTCCTTATAAAGAGCAAGATAGAGATGCAATGATACTAAAGATTTAGGCAGCTAGAAATTTAATATGAGATTTAAATTTGCTTAAGCATTTTGTTGCTTTCTTTATGTATAGAGAAGTTTGATTAATTTCATATTTTTATTTTATTTGTGTAAATAATATAGCATGCATTTTGAATGGACCACTATTTTACATATTTGAATGTTTGTGTTTTATTTTAGTTAACTACAATCTTAAACTTAGGGTCTCTTCTATTTATTTTTTTGAACAATAACCCGATACTTTGGTTT